CGACCCAACTTGATTCAATTTTAGATTAGTTAGGGTCTAATGTAATTTTTAAATATCGAAAGATAGTAAAAAAAAAAAAATTAATGGTTATTTTTGATTTTCACCTTTATTTTTAAGTTTTTTTAATTAAAACTCTCGGGCCAAGGATGGATTCTAAACAACCTGAATGCTTCTCATCTGGACTATTTATATGGATTTTTTTTCAATTCTAAACTTGTTGAACTTGATATTCTCCTTGGTTGTACGTGGCCAAATCTTTTATGTACAGGGCTGAAGTCTCGGATTCAATGCAAGTACTACCCCAAGAATTAAAGGCATCAAATCCACAAGAACCTAGCTAGGTCTCAGATTAGAAATACTGCCTCTGAATGTCAAAGCTGAAACTCAACTTTCTAATGAGTAAGATATCTAAACATGTGATGTGGAAAGAACAAACAGACCCTTATGTTTTCCTGCCGTTAGTATTAAAAAAAAAAAAAAAAACTATTATACAATTTATTTATTTTTTTTGAACATTTTGTCATGGATCCGACTCGAACCGTTGTTCTTGAGGAGAGGATATGAACCTTACAAGTGTGAATAGAGCCACTTGGCCCGAAAGTCAAGTTATTATACAATTTAATTTAAACTATATTATACTATACAATTAAAATTATTAGATAGAGTGAATATTAAAGTAACCTCAATTACAAAAAATACATTTTCTTAACTAACTCGTCATAAATAGCAGACCAACCAAATGACAAATAGTACATCTAGATTTATATCACACCTCACTACTACTATTAATCTTTGCTGAACAGTAATAAGAATTCAGATGCGAGGGAAAACGAATTTAAGAGCTCATTCATGATTCCAGCAAACAGGACCGCCTTTCCACCCGTTACCTGCAATGCAATTAGTGTATGTAGCTAATTTCTGCTACCGGTTTATATAATTGAACTTTAATGTACACATATATATACAATCACTAAAGCATGTATAGTTGAAAAGAGGGCCATAAGACGTGTATTGATTGATTCAACAATCTAGAAGCAATCTATTCAGAAAAAAAAAAAAGCGCACTATTGTTGGTCAAGGAAAGTGAGTTTTTTCTACCAATACTAGGCGTCTTCTAGAAAAGGCACTAAGTGAAAAAAGGGGGTTCTATGTCCATAGTTTTCTAAATTAGACTAATGGGATGGGGAAAGGTTAAGATGCTGACTCTTTGTGATTGGAGAATGGTGTAGGAATCTTGACCGCTACCTTCTTTTGTTGAGCTATTCACACATGCAGTTGGAAAAGGTTAGCTCTTGAGAATAATAATAGTGACGGAGCTTCATTAGGGCTAGGGAGGCCATGGCCCCCCCCTAAGACTTTAGAAACAAAGTATTATAATATATTTTTTATTTTTATAGTTTTCGTATTTATTTTATTGTGACTCCTTGTGATTGGAGAATAATGTAGCAATCTTGATCGATGCCGTCTTTTGTTAGGCTGGTCAAACATGCAGTTGGAAAAGGCTGGCTCTTGAGAATGATAGTGGCAGAGCTTTATTAGGGGTGGGGGAGCCATGGTCCACACCCCCCCCCCCCCCCCCCCCCCCCCCCAAGTTGCGGAACCAGAAATTTTAGTTTAGTGGGACTGAATTTTCAAGTTTTAATGTATTGTAATTTTAAAATTTTATTTTTATATTATAAATTAAAATAATACTCGATGAGTTTTTATGTCACAAAATCTATATATAATAAAATCTACACTAAATAATTGAATTATTTCTTTTTTAATATAAACAATCAAAGAGTTTGAAAGAAATTCATTTTTAATTTTGTTACGGAATCTCATTTTCACAATTTTCAAGGTAAAAAATGCTCTTTCTGTTGTTGCTGGTAGGGTGAAGAGATTCTCTTCTGTAATCCCAACTAGCTACCCCTCAATTCCTAAGATATAAAACTCATTTCTTTTCCTTTATAAAAATGTGAATTAAGTTTTCAATATATATGTATAATCTGTTGTGCAAAATAAAATAGAGATCAACTGCAATCTTGCAAATAAAGTGCAGAAAAATAAAAAGAAAGGGAAGAGAATATCAAGCCGTGATTTATAGTGGTTCTTCCAACCTGGAGTACGTCCACTCCCTAAGCCTCCTTGCTCGAGAGTTCAATCCACTAGAAATCTCTTGCTTACGGGTGCAAGATTAAACCGGAACAAACTCTTACTTGCAGGTGCAAGATTAAACCCTCACAAGTGAATCTCAACTTACTTAACCCCTTCAAGGATTATTCCAATCCAAGAAGAATACAAAACCCTTGTAAGACAATTAACCCAAAAGCTCACAAGAAGAGAAGAAGAAGGAGATCCAAAATAGTTTAAAAAACAAACTCTGTTTTTCTGTATTGCTGGAGCAATTTTCCTTCTCTCATTCTTCTATTCAGATCTAATTTTATGATCTATTTAATAGTAGGTTTGGAGCCTTGAAATTAAAGTCCATTTAGCCCTTTAAAGCCACCCCACAAATGCTCCAATTAGATTCCACCTTATTCTACTAACTTGACTTGACTTTGGAAAGTACTCAGACAATGGTTCCCCCAAAGCCCATTAAGAATAGGAATAAACGGATAGATGAACTGTTAAAATTTAACCTTTCAAAATTTTTTGCTTTGAAGCCAAAAATAATGGTTCAAACCATTTTCAGAAAAAAGAAGTTCGGGATTGGTTCGAATCAAATTAAATTGATTCGAACCCAGAACTTTGAACAAGGGGAACATGAATTAATTCTAATTGTGGGGAAAGATTAGAATTTTTGAATTAAATTTTCTGCACACTTAGTACAAAAATAGATTAAACACTTTTGAATCATAGTTTTAAATCATCATCATAGTTTTAAATCCTCATCAAAATACAAAGAGAACCTAACATCTTCCTTTACAGGTGAGGTTGGTAAATATGAAATACGATAATATCATATCTCTTCACCTTAGCACTTTTTATAATCAAACAATTTTTTTTCTCTTTTTACAAGCTAATTACACTTTATACTAGTTTATCTTCCTTTTATACTAATTTATCTTCTTATTACTTTTCTCTATATTACTATATTCAAGATTTTTCTTTTGATTGGGTTCATATATGTTCCCTTTATGGATCTATACTTTTTTTTTTTTTTTAATCCAATTCTATTCCATTTAACTTCAATATAACTTCAATATTATCATAATATTCAATTTTATTTATAATCTCAACAACTTTAAATCTTAAAAGGAAATTATACAATTTTTTGTGATAATAAAAAATCAATAAGTTTTATTACTTAAATATTACTCCCTCCATACTAGAATAATAGATTTTTTTTGTTTTATCTTTAAATGAAGGATTTGAAAACAATTTCTATCTTTACTATTTTATAAGAAACAACTAAGAATAAATATCTACTTCAATAAAAAGATAAATAATTAAAGTTAAGAGATAATTAAGGCTAAAGCAAAAAAAAAAAAAAAAAACTATTTATCTTCCTTAAAATAAAAAATGACTATTATTATAAGATAAATTTTAAATAAAAAATATCAATTATTCTGGGATAGAGAAAGTATACTAATTTTTTACTAAAACATATTTACTAACAAGTAGATGCATTTTTTGCAGTGGTATTGATTGAGTTCTTCTATGATCAATCACCAGAAAGCATGAAGAGTCTTGGGACATCCTATTCCTCTACCAGTA